GCTGTACGGACAATTTTCTTGAACCATTAACGTAATACTCGACAATTATTGTTGTCAGATATTTTTTCGGTCAACGCGAGTATTGTCGACAACATTAAAATTTACCTTCCAAGTGATATTATTTCAAAGAGGCCGACAGTTCCAAGCTTTGAGAGTCTCTTTGTTAAAACGAGAGCGAGACAACGACAATTCAAGAGGCGCACGCTTAATCTTGCTAATAATTCGAAGACGAATACGAAAAAGCAAGGGGGAGCGATAGTAGCTCTCGTTCAGACGAGCCCATTATCTCTCGTTACAAACAGGTTGCGCAACGAACAATGGCGTCGGAGTGGTATAGGTAAATAGCGACCACAAAGAAATTTATACCGGTCTGGTGTCAATGGTGGGCAGCGGAGGGTAGCTGTTCGGTTAAGAGGAGAACAATTGCGCCGGGAACGGAAGCGCGCACGTACGGGAAATGTGTGGCTCTCTGGGAACGAGGAGCGGGCACCATGGCATTACGCCACTGAAGACAAACGACTCGACGCGCCATCGAACCCGCGGACTTTAGTTAACTTGGAGAAAAATGATAACGAAAGATGAGTGACACCGTCGGTCGCTGTTTGCTCGTAAACATCTCCTCGGCGAGAGGAGACAGAGGCGCGCAGTTTAGTGAGACTAAATTTTTTTCTTTTTTTTCTTTTTTTTTCTCGAGGACGAGGGAAATTCCTCCGAGTAATTAAATTTTAATTCGGCCTATCTGTTTGTTTGCGAGCATCGACTCGCGTCAGACGTTTCCGAAGAGAAACGATCGATAGCTCGCTGGAAATTGAAGAACACGATTTAAATAATTTGCAAAAGTACGAAATGTTCGGCAATGTTTTGATCTTAGGCAGCAATTGCGGTTAAGAATTACAAATACAAATTAAAATTCGTTCTTCCGGTTTGATAAGAAAATCGGGTAAAAACTCTTGGAGCTTGATGCAGTTGGAACTTGACATTTTTGCGGACTTCTACGAAAATAGCACATTGTTGATCAGATTCGCAATATTTTTCCAAGATATTTACGATTGAAGTTTCGCTTTTGTACACTTTTCTAAGAGCACATACACACACACACAGACACAGACACACACAGATTCTTGACAGAAGTTGCGATCAAACTTCAGAAGCACGTGGCACTCGTGCAGGCAAACACGATTTTTGTCTCCGTGTTTATTAAGACTTTTGTGCTTCTTTTAACGAAAACATGTTTACGGAGATTACCGCGACTTTTCTCAACATCCAGAGAATTTTCGTCACAGTTTATCATACTGGTTTCAATGCACCTCAATTAATATTCACATTTATGCGGGTTGCGAGAGTCTCATTATTCAGAATTTCTTCCTGTGCGGCGAAAAAGCTGTTTATTCAGCCCTAATCTTAAGACGTAAAATACGAGTTCTGTTACATATGTGTGTATGTGTGTGTGTGTTTATGTGAATATGCGAAGTGTGTACGAAAAGGATAAAATTTTAGTTAGAGAATAGCGAGTCGCGAGAGAGAGTTACAGAGGAAACTTAACATCTATTTATTATCGTCGTATTCGGTCTTATTCAGTGTTCCTTCTAATTACTTAAATATTAACAAGCTGTTTATCACAAATCACGAAGATTTAAATGTATTCCTTTCCACGCGAAAAATTCGATATTAAGAACCGGAGGAATCCTCGTCCACGTCGAAGATCGTGAATAGGGAGAGGACGAATAAATGACGAGAACGGTCGAATGATCAGAGCTCCGTCTTACATTCGTGCGATTTGCTCACAGTCTTTCCAAAGAGGTTAAAAACGTATTCAGGCCACGAGCGTGGCTCGCCCTTCGACGTGAAGTGTGGCACGAGAAACAATCCGTATCGAGAGGGTTAGGCAATATCTTATAAGGGGGAGCACGATTCTGCTTGTTCCTTCTTTTCGCTCTCAGTCCGTCCGTCCGTCTGCCTTTGTAAATTAAACACGTCGGTAAATTGAACACGCGCAATGCGACTACCGTTGTCTTTCGTACGTCGAATGAAACACACTATCCTGGTCGAAAAAGGGATTTGGCGAACACGCGAGAGAAAATGCCGTAAGAGGCAAGTTAACTTTGCAGGGTAAATCCCGCAAGGAAAGTAGTTCCATCGGGAGGGAGGGGAGGGGGAGGGAGGAAGGAAAGATTTTTGTTATCGAGGAAACGGGATAGTTTTCTTCCGAGTCGGGATAATTTTCATTATCGTACGTGACGCAAGAAGTACACGAGGTAACGAAAGTTTCGCGAGAACTCTGTAATTAGCGAAGTTGTTTCTTCTTTTGATCGTTAACGATCTTGAACGCGGTGAGTGAAAATTGTTCGAACGTCGTTTGCAAGTAACGAGTAGTTTCTATCAATCGAAAATATTCTTTCAACCAAACGTGCTTCGAGCGCGAATGTAAAAATTGTTCGATTGTTGATTTCAGAGAATTCAACAGTTCATTTTTTTCAGTTTCATCTAAAATGACATGTAGCGTGTTATGTCATGTTGTCTTTGATAAGAAAGATTTCGTCGCGCGAGATTTCAATTTCGTGGCGAGAATTTTTTATCAAAATATTGAGACCACCACCATGACACTGATAGAATCAGTACATTTTCGGTATCGCGTACCTTTCTTCAATCCATTTTCGTGGAAACGTGGTGTCAAAGTTGAATTTATATTCATGGAGAAAAATGGCCCGGCAATCATGCCTCTGCATATTTGCTTTGGGAAAAACTTAAACGTGTTTCGAGAGAAAGCGCATTCTGCCAGAATTAGATTTCACTCGGCAAATCATGATTCACGTTCGATTTACTCAAGTCGATGAATTTACTTGTTATTCATCTTTTGACAAAATGATTGAATTCGTCTTGATTGTTGACTGAAATAAATAGCGAAAACTTTATATATTTATATAAAGCATATAAAAAAATCAAAAACTGCATCGTTCATACGTTTACAGAATTTCTATTTATTTATAAGAAGGTGTGATTAAACCGATATTTAAAGGCGCGAATAGCTCAAGCCTTGAGAAAAGAGAATTTTTATAAAATCGCTATTCACATCACTCTCATTGGAATTCAGAAATTTCACCCAATTAGATACACGAGTGTTCTAACAACTGCAAATTCAGATCCTGCCTCACGCCTGTAATTACGACTGGCAAATTCTGTCGGAGCTGTACGGCCGTATTAGAATTGGCGCACGGAGCTATCTCAATTTTGAAAACCGTCCCGTTGTCAATCTACAGCAGGCCAGTGCAAGAACTTCTCTCGCAAATTGAAATTCCAATTTATACAAAACGTGTTGCGCAACCGTTTCACGCAACCGGCCGCGACGATGAAAATTGTCTCTCCGTTAGTCGATAACTGTGAAAACTGGAATCGATGATAGTGAATGGACCGATAGGGATATACAGCGTACATACTCGTACACGTACTCGTACGTGTTATGCTTATGAAAACTGATAGTTCATTTGTCACGCCGATACGACGAGAGCGACGAAATTTTCACAGCGCTCGGGTATTAAAAGACCTTAGCGCTCATGCATATGCAGCTCGTCGCCAAAAATCAATGCGAGCGTTAATCGCGCGATTACGATTATGATAACTCGTTAATACGTATGCACGTGTAAATATTGGATCCGGCAGCCACGTACAATTGCGCGTAAGCGGAATATTTATTACACGTCTCTACGTGCGTTGCAAATTATCTCTGCATCTGTTGCAGTAACTTCTCTCAATTTCCTTGTACAGGTAGCACGTCGAAATGTCTAAAGTGGACGTTAATAATTTCGGACGCGAATATTTATACCGGTTCAAGTGTTTGCAAATACAATTAGGAAAGCTTAATCCGGTCAGAAAATTATTGTGCCCGACAAGCATTACTATGACTATATTTTAATGAGTGTAACGATAATGTTATGACGAATACGCTACAACGACGGATGAAATCTGCGTAAACGAAATCTATAATCTATTAATAATTCCTTTTCTTTCGCGTAACGTTCGTTCTTCAAATATCTTTCTGTAGAAATTTTTGAATCCAGAAATTTCGAATCTATCTAATTTTGTCTGTTAATTGATACATTTGAATAATGTAGACGGGGAACAAATGAAACGCAAGCTACGACGATGTACCGTTTTTCTAGAAACGAATGGGAACGATACGATAATCCATGCAAATGGCAGATAAGAAATGGTAATTTGTAAACGCTTCGCGACGCAACTTTTGACTCCTCGTTTACATTAGTTTCGACTTACTGATGAGAAAGCCAATCCTCTTATACCACTGTTTCTCAGATTGTTCGATGTGATTTTACCGCAGTGTAAACGTATCTCGCGATATGATTATAAAGTTCGCAGGTCATTCTACGTTTCTCTGCGCGGGGGGAAAAAAAAATATAGTACTATGCGAGAACTCGCGCGTACGTGAATGCCATAAACGAACATCTCGGCGCAGTTCAGAATACAGATCCGAAAAAATCGATCCATCTGACCCATCAACGCTTTGTTTGTGAGAAAAATTGCAGCTATGCGATTAAAATATAAACTTCGTTTGCGTTTCGCGCTATAAGAAATTTGCGAAAATTACGTCATACTTTATCGTTTAACGTACTTCAACAAGTTTTTACGGGAATAATAAATTATAATTAAACCTGAATATTTCGTAAGATCTTATAGGCCGAAGGACGTAATAAGAGCAGCCAATATTAGTTTCCTTCAAGAGTAATAAAGATATTTTTCTAAGTTAAAAGTAATCTAGCCACGTATAAAGTACGTAGAGAAGAAGGTGCAGGAATTTCATTGGCTCCTCCGATATTATATCACCAGAACACAAAAAGAGTAAAATTCCACCAAAGAAAATGAAGGTGTACTCTCACCTTGGAAAAATTGAATTTTACACGCTTTCGTAAAATGTAAAAGTGTAAAAGATTAAAAGTGTAAAAAATATGCTTCTTTCGACTTTGTGCTATATGCGTTAGCGTATCTACACGTTTAACGTCAATTTTAATAAAAAATTGACAAGAACTTACCTCCTTGAGAAGTGTTAATATTGTAGAACGGTATTAACTAGCAACAATCATCGAAGTGACACTTACCTGAAAAATAAGAAAAGAAAAGATCATTTAACAACATATTTTAATTGTACTTTAGCGTAAAATAATACTATCCAAACGCGTGATAAAATACTTTTCATGTAATACTTAAACATGTAAAGTTTAACAAAGAGAATTCTCGCATCTTAGAAGCAATTTCTCTTGCTTCCACGAACTGGGTTTTTGCAGAAGCCAGAAATAAATAGGCGGTAAACAAAATAAATGATTATTGTCGTAATTCGTTGCAGGAGCACTGAGAAAACGGTGCTGACAAAAAAATTCTACTGTTTCGTAAAGACTTCTTCAACTCTTTGCATTTGTCACGTCACCCTTTCTTACAAATCTGCAAGAATTTCTTTCTTTCTCAGTCTTATTTTATTTGCCCGATGCATTTGTACGAACGTTTCTGCACTGATTCGGTTTATGAATTTATCCGTAATTCCACATTCACGAACGTATAGGAAATATTGTTGAAACGAATTTATTACAACTGTATCGATCTTTTCTTGCGTGAATAAATAAATATGGATGTAACTATTTACTGAACGACAGTGAAAGATTAACCCGGGATTACCCACGTGAGGATCTAGTCGCCGGGATGTCCCTGCGTTAGACCCCCAGGTGGGTAATCCCGGGTTAACAACCCCAAGAATATAACATTTAAAAAATTTAACATTTTTACTTAACTTTTTAATCAACTAATTATACAAATAAAGAACAGAAAGAGCTCTCCGTTTCAAGCTTAATCGTTTGGAAATAAATACCATCAGTGTACATCATAAACTATCTACTACATCACCACGAACCTATGTGAGTATATAAGTGTCATAAAGCTAATATACCGTGAACAAAGTCAGGTCATTTGGGAACTTGTCAATTTTTTTAAACATGTGTACTTCCAAATGTAAAATGTATGTAAAATTACTACGAACCCGATTTCTAGGGAACCGAATTTTTCCGAAAAATTGTAGAACTTGCACTATTAATCATGATTCGTTAATAATCTATTACAATGACTACATACCTCATGAAAATTTCTGATTTTATACCTCTGTTATTTCGTGATCTATATTTGTTAAAATATATAAAAAGATCCCTTCAGCAAGTATCGATTTAAATTTAAAGTTTAATTTCCTTCTCAATGGAAACAATGAAATTAATTAATTCACTTTAAGTCTATATAAGTTTTCTTTTTTTTTTTTTTACAAAAGAGCTTTGAAGTTCAGTACGTTCAGTATCGTCAAGGTGTTTTCCTCTCGTCAAACAACGAAGAAATTATCGCGAATTCAAATCACGTAAATTAACACATAAATTATTAGCCTTTAAATACGGCCGTAATGGGAATAAATGTGCTCATAATAAGAACATTTAGGTGCCCCTTGAATTCCTGGCAAAATTGTGAGATCGGCGCAGCTCGCGTGCACGTAATATATTGTGAATGGCTTATGTTCCACTCGTCGAAACGATATAACGCCGTATCTGAGGTAGTTTCGCGTAACGAATATCAAAATGCCGGTACACGCTTGTCCTTGAATATCAAAGAGTCCTTAAGCTCGGTTCTGTTGTATCGTTATGTGACTTTCTGCCCCACGTAATTAGCTTCGTTCGAGGTATTGAATCACTTTGTGAGCTATCGATAGCTTTCACTGAATTCCAGAGCATTAGAAGATTTTAGACGATCGTAATAATTATACCTCTCCATCTCTGGTATTTCTTTCAAATTCTACTGATAAAAAAATGTCCGTTCATTGATCTAATGATGCGAATAAGTACATTAAAAAACGTGTCGCCTCGAGGTTGAATCAATTGGAAATAAATATCATCACGTTTGACTCACTTTGAACTATGATAGTTGTCGAGAATCCAAACCGAATCAAAACATTAATATTAAACAATAGGTGAAGTAATTAAAAAAGTGATTTGTATTTTGTGTTGTATTACCAAATAAAAACGAACTGATTCTTAATTGCAAATAAATTTTCTATGATATTAAAACAGACGCGCTTGTAGGAACTGTGTGATATAATGGATATTGAGATATTCGACGAAAGTTAAAGATGATGGAGCGTTCTTTTGCTCTCAAGGGTCATTCTTATCATCGGCTCTTCAATTTATCTTTACTTAATCAAAAACCCTTGGAAATATTGAATTATAACGTGACCGATATCCAACACCGAGGGAAAAGATGCGTTGAGAAACTTTCTGCAGGTAAAAAATTCATCATAGTTAAATAGTTTTCTTTACCACACACTGACCTAAATAAACTCATGGTGCACACACGCGCTCGTCACTAGGTTATTATATTCTTCTTGAAACACGCTATAAACAATCTTCTAGATCTACGATTCAGAAACTTTGGGATATTAAAACTTTTAATGCGAAATGTGAAACAAATTAAAACATACTCGCGTGAGCGGAGTGTGGTAAACATTATGCTTTGAACAGGGTGACTGATAGTATAGTAAATCGTAATATTCCTCGTTGTGACATTAAATTTACGACATATTCGCAACGATGATTATAATAACCGTGGGAAACTCACGTTGAAAATTGGGGGGAATGATTAATATCGTCTGAGGTTTATCGTCGAGTAAAATGGATACATTTTGCTACATACTTTGGTGAAACGTAGCAATGGAGGAAACGAATGTTGAGACATTTTGCTATGAAATAACTTACGTTGCTACTATATTACTATATTACTATACTTTTTAAAATTACTTTTAAATTATTATTTACTGATAAATAACAAGCAATTTTCAAAAAATTTTCGTTCTATCTATGTTTTGAAAAATGCGCGATCTTTTCGCTTTTTTCAACCTTCAATGACACAGTGTGCTGCAAAAATAACAACGATTTGCTCGTGTGCAAATCATTTTTCCAGAATTAGCATACCCACGCAATAGCTGTCAGTGTGTTTAAAATTATACGGATGTAAAAAGAAAATATGTTACGGTGGAGGAAAATTTACTAGCACGGTCCTGGTAAATATACGATTTTTTTTTAATGACCAATCTGCCTGCACGCCTTTCGCAGCCACAGAGAGAAAACACTGGTCGATTTGCATTATGCCGTATCACGCGTTATGCCACAAGAAGCGTTGCAACCAGGAGGGCCGGTTACGAACCCAGCTTCGCGCGAAAAAACAAACTCGAAAACACGGGAGGCCAATGTTTTTTCATATGCGCCTTCGTTTGCGAGAACGAAAAATCGGATTAAAAATCCATTGTTTTATCCTGTAACGTGGCGTAATAACGTGACGAAATCGATAAAAAGCAACGCGTTGTTTTTTCTTCTTCTTTGGCATTGACAAACAAAAATGGATGGATCGTGCGATAAAATTTTAGCCTATGTATCTGGTGAGTCTTAGGATTCTACGTCCGGGACGTATCACTGACGAAAAGAATTCTATTTTACGTCAATCGTGTACCTTCACGTAGAATCTCCGCTTCTACTTTTCTAGAGGAAACTGTCTTAATTAACTTCATAAGTTAAAATGCACAAAAGGCTAGCAATTAAAAACGTCACTTCAAAAAAAAATTCACTTCGAAATTTACAATTGCTCGTCCCGTGTCCTGGCGAAACTACGAAAATATCATCATTTCTGGAAATGTTGAATGTTAATAACGTATCTACTTGAACGACAAAATTGAAAAAAAAAAAGGATTATAAAAGGTGGAGTTAATTAATTTGGTTCCTCAGAGGCTCGAATTCAATTCCACTCTCGCGTATTCGCCAAATATTCGCTTCACATTTGCAAAACGCTAGTTAAAAATAAAGCGAATAATAAGTAGAAACAAGGTTCTCCCCACGGCAGAAATCATGGTCGCGTCGCCTAATTACGTCCGGTGTACAGTTACACCAGGTCACCGATATCTTCAAACATCCGCGAATCAATAATCGAAAACAGCGTTTTGTGTGCACGAAGAACATTATGGCTAATTTACGTTTCACGCGGAGGGCTGTGCGTCAATATTGGTTCGAATCCGGCATTCGTAACCCAGCTGGGTTGCGAATATTTTACGTTAACGATACAGGTTGTGCGCGATGCTGGCGTGCACCAGTCTCCCTGCTCTTCACCGCTGACCCTTAATTAATTTTTACCCGCACGGTAATTACTTACTGTGCATTCGTAACAACAAACGTTGTCGCGGTTGTCGTTGCACGCACTCGTAATTAGTCGCGCGTTTTTTCCGAACATCTGCCTGCGAGCAACACGAGTATCAACAAACTCGGTGAAACGTTCAAATGACAGAGTGCCGATAATTTAGGCAACATTTAATCCACAGAAGATCGTGTTTCATTTGTTTCTGAACGATATATATATATATATATATATATATATATATATATATATATATATATATATATATATATATATATATATAAATGTGATGGAGTTTCGTCGAAAGAAACGCGAATAACAAGACAGACGAGAGTTGTTTTCAGGAATTCCCGCTCTAGCACGAATCAGGTTAACTGACCTGGTTTTTCAGGTTGTCACTTGAACGTGGAAAAAGAAGCATTTCATTCCGGAAATTATTGAAATTTTATTTTCAGACTGTTTTTGGCTGATTGTGAGAACAAGAGCGTGCGATAATATTGCGTATTTATCGCGATTAGAATTCTCTCTCTTTTTCTTTCTTTTTTTTTCTTTTTTTTTTTTTAGTGAACACAGAGAACATCGATTCAGTGTTTGTTTTTTAAATCGACGAGATAGTTCAGCGAAACAGTATTTATTATCGAGGCGCTTCTTGAATCGATGAGATGTTTTATCGGGACTGAAATTTATTGGGTCCATTCGTACGTTTATACGTAGTTTAATCTTCTGCAGATGCAAAAAAACTGAGTAAAGAACCACTTTCCTATAATGTCATACATATGTACATGTATATCCATAAGTTGCAGAGAATAGTGTATACATGTTCAAAAGTAAGGTGTTTTTTTTTTTTTTTTTTTATTAGCAAACAGAATGTTTTATTTTTTTATCAACGTACGAAGGTATTAACACATTATAAGAAAAGAATAAGTTTCAGATCAAATTTGTTTTACATTTCAAAGGAGAAATTTACGACGAGGCAATGATTCTTTTTTTTCTTCTCCAGGCAAAGAATTTTTTAAAATAAAACCACGATTTTGTTGCTCACTCTGCACTGGTTGCACACTCTATGTACGCCGCTTGTCTCTAGACATCTTGACACGAGTTCATTAACCTGCGATACCCGTGTCATTTAAAATGATTTGAAATTCACCTACACTGATTCTGCGCGTTTAGAAGAAAGCCTCGAGAAATTAAACACAGGTTTAATTTTATTCCTAAATGACAAAAATAATTGCAAACTACAAAAGTTGAATAGTTCAATCAACGTTGCAAGAGAGATCATTCAATTCTTTAACAAACTCAATTTTGATTACCAACCCCAATTAATTGACTTCGAACGAGACAGGATCAAATTAATCATTACCATTTCGTACTAAATCAATTCGTATGAATGTACTGAAAATGTATATTTTCTTTTTTAAATAAAAGAAAATTGCAGTATAGTAATTACGTAAAAGACATTTATACGTGCACAGAAATTACGGAGAAAAAAAGGAAACAAACGCTGCCATCTACCGTCAACTATTGGTAATCAATCACACCGGCAGCTGAACAGGTGCAATTCTTTGAGAAAATGCAATGCAAATTACTGCTTTTGGAGATGAAACGCGTCGGATTAATTTGTGGTCATTGATTCCCCTATTTGACCATTGAAATTAACTTTTCAAAATTAAAACTTTGAAAGAATCATAAATTTCTATACGACTCGTTCGCAATATCGATGATTCTTTCAATGTTTTATTAGTATTGCTAATATCGTTTATGAAAAGACGATTAATCAATATCTAATCCAAGGCACAAAAACATTCCATTTCATAAACATACTAGTAAATTACGCCTGGAAAATAGAATGGCTTTTGTTGTACTTGTATAATGTTAAATTATTAAAATATCGATTTTTGTATATAGTTACGTAGTTAAACGTGGCCTACTGAGCAACGACGAAAAGCAGATGAAATTTTAATAATAAAATAATCACGCGAATAATCTCTACATCTGAAAATATGATTTAAGCTTTCGTTAGTTTAAAAATTAAGTTAAGAAGATTTACTAAATCTTAAACGTTTCGACGATGTTCCGAGACATCGAGAGACCAAAGAGGCCGTCGCTTTTTCAGTTTTCGCGAACGTCATAAAATCCGGAAGTTCCAAGCGAATCGGTGACTTCCGCGTAAAGATTTAGGAAAGTTAGGCAGTTGGCTGAATTAACGCGAGAAGTTCGAAATTCTTGAAGCCACTCGCGTTCGAAACTGCGCCGACAGATTCATCAGAAACTGCGATGCAATTTCACATCGAAAATATCATTCTTTCCACGAAAACGTGCGTTATTCTTTTTTTATGTAAAAAGAAATAACGACTCTTTCGAACGTTCAAGCACGATCGAAAATTTTTCTGAAAAGTTTCGCAATGTAGAAAACAACGCATCAGAGATTTAAATGATTTCTCTTTGAATTAATCTTTCAAACTTAAAATTGAATCGTGTACCGAGAAGATTGCTTGAAATTCCGTAGCAATTGCGTGAATTACGCGTGTACAACCGTATAATAACATTATTTGGACGCTACAGTATTCTCGGAATAATATTATATCACGCTTTTACATACATACGTAGAACACACAGCTATCTCACAAATCTCGTGGTTGCATCTTTTTCTTTTTTTTTTTTTTTTTTTAACAAAATGCTGCCGACTCGCACGTTTGTGCAATTCTTGTCGTTGTGCAAGACACGTTACAGCGTCTTGCATGGAATATCTAAATATCCCGGAAGCTCTGCACACTTTTATTTTCATTAATGGCGTACGTGTATCTGCTTCACGCTACGGATCCTTCGACCTTTTGCGCGTAAGCCATTGTGAAATACGTTCGTGGAACGCGCGGGTATAATGGCCGCACGATGACACAGTTATACTATACACTCTTAATTGTGAGTAATGTATGCATGTAAATGTTATGCATTAATTCTGTCCCCGGTTAAGACATATTAATTCGGACTAACACCTTTCACAACGAACGTTCTCCACTGTGAATGCAATTTTAGCGGTGGAATCCACGGTAATAAATTACACTTCGTACAGTCCTTTACGTAAATTTTACACATTATGCAAAAATACTACAGACACAATAGCGCGCTTTCGCGAGTGAAACTGAAGGTGCCTGGTATTATCTCAATTCTGACCCTTCTTAGGAAGTATCGTGTTGTAACTGGACTGTGGAGTTTTATGGATTTGGAGGTGCAAGAATTCACACGACGCACGGAAATATAAAATAAAACATTCAAAATATCCAAATATTCGGCTAAATATTTTGACTCGAAGTAAATTTCTATTTAGATCCAATTTCTTTGGCCACGTTCGTCAAAATATTATACAAAATTTCCAGTTTATATATAATACGTGTAAAACAATGATAATTTTTATTACGATCCAAGAACCGCTTCAAAACAATAATATAATATAATATAATATAATATAATATAATATAATATAATATAATATAATATAATATAATATAATATAATATAATATAATCAATTTTTGGCACGTGTCGAGGGATTTCGAAATGTCCAAGGTCATCTTCATTTTTTTTTTTTTTTTTAATTGGACCATATAATATCTCCTTAATCATTAAATTTATGTGACTCATACTTGCAATTGAATATTCTTTCAACTTATGATGAAAAAGATACGTGATCCAATTAGAAAATACAAAGGTGACCTCGAAAATTTCGAAACTTCTCAACAAGCACAAAAAAATTGATATTTCGCCTCCCTTAAAACCACACGACTTTTGTATTAAATAATTTCTCATTAGGCGCATAATTTGAAAGTTATTTCAAGTATGCAAGTTACGTGATTCACCCTGTACGATACGACAGTAATTAACTGCCTCAAAATAATGGAAGGCCGACAATTTTCCCGAAGCTTGCACAAGCGAAAAAATTCCACTTACACTCTCGAAATACTCCAATTCCCCATTATAAAAATATACCATTGCATTACAATTAATACCACTACATACATTATATTACAATTGACAATCCAGAGAGAATGCCTCCGTGGTCCTCGAGGAATATTTCGCCGACGGTCGTTGGGGGAAATCCCAAAAATCCTGCGGGAAAAAAGATTACCTTGATGTTCTGACGACGGTATTCCTTGGTGTGAGCGAGGTAGTATTTATAAACGTGGATCGGCAGCGACTTCTTGGTCTCCTCCCCGATCCATCTATGAGGCGTTTCGAATGCCGGTGGTTTTTGCACCCGGATACCGGGCGAGCGTTGACCGAGCGATCCACCGGGCGAGCCAAGTCTGGCCGCGCTGACCGACTTGCTCAGATGATGCCCGGAGGAGGAGCTCGGCGGTGGATGCGTGTGGTAATACGGGTTAGAGGGTGGCCGCCTGTCGACGATATCGACGTGCCTGCGTGGCGACGGCGTCTCGGCCGATCGTTGACGTCGCGGACGTTCCTCATGCAGTCCCGGTTCCGGATACGAGGGACGCACGTACGACGCCGGATGACGCACGGTACACTGCTGCAGCGTTAACACCGGCCTCTGACACACCCTGCACGGTGGATAGACCTGCGGGTTCCACGAGTGGTAGCAGCATCCCGGCGACCTGGAGCCAAGCGGATCCCTGGTCGCAGGGTGGTTCATGACGAACTTCACATCGCATCAAGAATCCTGGCTTTCCTCTTCCAGTCACCACACACCTTCCTCGCGGCCACTTTTTACCGAGACACTCGCGGCTACATCGTTTCACGGGCCATCATTTCGACGATCGAACGCACACGCGAATCGTCCAGCGTATCGTCCAACGTCTCATCCAAGCATTCACTTACATCGCTCGTCTGCTGATCGGAGGGGCATCCGGTACGAGATTAGTCTTCATTCAAAGAAACCCTACTAGATTTTTGGATTTTGGAGGGTGTAACGGTTGGCGAAACGAACGTGTAGAACTGACTTTTCAAGCGACATCGAAGACGACTTTTTTCTTAAACTACCGTTTCCTTTTCTGCTTTCATACTTTTCCTTTCCTTCAGAGTATATCGATAAACTGTACAATATTGACAAGCTGTATGAATTGAAAAGTATAAACAAGAGTTACAATTCGATGCCGATCGTGTGCTTGTATAATAAAATTAAGAAATGAATAAAAAGTGGAGTCGGACTATTCAACTGTTACAAGAGTATTAACAATATATAATATTGCAGATACTTTTATGGCTCACTGTTCACACAGAGAAGGGATTTCACGCGTTCGAAACGCGAATTATTTATTTGGAAAGACGCTGGCAAATTGAAAGAGAGAGAGGTTCGTCGTTTTATTTTATTTGATTTAACCGGGGCCTGTCTTGTTGCGAATGTCGCGTAAATTTCAACTTGGCATTAATAAACTGTGCACCAGGTGGCACACGGCGACTTGTAATATTCCTCACGCGTGCACAGAGGTTAGGCGGAAAGAGAAGCCCGTGTCAACTCGACGCGGAAAGAAAGATTTGAAAGCTCGTACGAGTACGAACGAGGTCGGCATAAAGAGGTTGATTCTTGCGAAAAGTCGTAAGCGCGATTAATACTTAACACGGGGTTAAGTTTACCTTTTTTCAAGGAACTGCGTCGTCTTTGTGCAACGTTTTGTCACACGACAGCGTGAAAGTCTGAAAATTACAAGTCACGAGGACACGAGGATCCCCTCTGGGTTCTTAGCATTTTTTTCGTCGCATAGAATAATTAGGTCTAAAAGTTACGAGTCTAAAGGGTTTTCTTACAAAATTTCGCTTACGTTTCACCATGAAACATCAACTTCTAACTCGTAAAATTATTTGCTGAATTGTACGCAGAAAGATTGTATTATCTCAAAAATAATTTATCGCGAAAGGATTAATTTTTCTAGGTGTGCTGACGATTTGCAGAACCGTTCATTCACAAAGAGACGGATCGAGAATATTTTTCCTCGAACGTCTTTCGCGATAAATACGTATATTTCAAAGTGATGTCAAAGAAAATCAAATTAAACGGTTGCACGAAATAATCTCATATAAAGGCACCCTATAGAGAAAACAGAAAAGTTCAGAGAACAACACCTTGCCAAAGACACAAAGAGTACACAGAGAAAGACGAGATAAAGAACGAGAAGTGTTTGAGAACCAGCTGCGTTGTAATTTGAAGCTCCAGTTCCTTTTACTAAGGGAAAATTGGACAATAAAAACTGAATAAAACAGTATTTAAAGGTAATTAATTTTGGGACATATGATATCACATAGTACAACTATCAAAATTAATTTTTGACGTACTAATAGCTAAAACAAAGATAGCATTATTATTGATATAAGGATAAGAAGTGTCCATAAAGTAGAACAGTTTGGTATTGGTCAGAAACGTCTAAAATAATACAACGAACTATTCCAATTTCTCTGTTTCTTCGCCTTTATATTTTTAAAATGTACTAAAAAAATAGCAATTTATCTGCGTGATCGTTGGATCGTTTCTAATCTCATTTTAAGTACTTAAAAAAGTATCTCTCGCGTATTTCTGGTGGCTTGAGTCGTTACACATCGTATCGTTTAATTAAATAAATACAATCACAACACAGTATAACGCAAGTGTACCAATTTCACTTAGCAAAAGCACGTTTATTCAGTTCTGTTTGCTCGAACATACATGGTAATGGACCAATGTATAAGATCCAATTAAACAGAAATTCTAATGAGAATTAGAGAATGTTAAAGTCAGAGAAAATCAACAAGGAGAATGTGAAGTGTGAGTATAATCCAACTTTCCGACGCAAATTCAAAGCTCCAGGTTATCTTTCAAAATTCCTATGGAAACTCCCAAGGCGTACTTCTTGCAAAACGATCTAACAAAACAAATTAAGCGTGATTTTGCTAGGAAACTTGTCGTGCAGAGTAAACTAAACAAAATTCAGAGCGCCAATATATTTATACTTTAGTATATTTTCTGATTACATTTTTATAATATAATACATTTATTTATGCCATGAAAATATAATATATTTATGCCATTATATATTTCCTGAATCATGATTTTCTCAATTATGACAACGTTTCAATGTTACCGATTTATGAAACTATAGAATATTTAAGTGTAATAAATTTTGCCATAAAAAAAAGGAAAAAATGAATTATCAGGGTCCATCAATTTTCTCCTAATAACGACGCGTGACACCATTGACTTCGCGCGTGATTGAAGTTCTTTGCAAGAAGAAAGGAAGTTAAGCACGAGAGTGGAAGTGGTTCGTGGCCGTGAATATAAAACAGATATGGTTGACGGTGCCTTTTTTCACGAAAGCCCGTGAAATGTGCTACTTCTCGCGCAAAAATTTTCGAGAACTTCAAAGGTTTGCCATTCTTCCGAGCGCTTTCTCATTTTCCTGAGGATAAATCAATCAACTCGCTCGAACTACTAACTCTGTGTCGATCAACCAGAACCGTTTCTGGGGAGAAAATCTGATTGCTAAAAGCTGTTCCAGCTTTATTCGAGTTTCAGCTGGAAAAATGGAACGTCAGGAGAGAAAACTTCACGCCGATTAAACGTATTGAGGTATTACTTTTGTTCGACCTCCGTGGTTTTCCCCCCATGACGAAAGAATGCAAGCTTTCGAAAGTTCGACTTGCGTCGATTTATTTATTAATTTAAAGTTGGCGTAAACTGGAGAAAACTAAACTAGCATTTCTGTGTTTCGTCGAATGCAGGAAAAAATCAAAATCTTATCTGTTAAGGAACAACAGATCATTATACCATATATATTTCCAACGGGCATGGTCTACCTTGTGAAATTTCCCTCAGAAAAATATAATTCCCAAATTTTATGTTATCGGCTGATATCGACCAATGCCTCAGCGCTCGCACCGATATCTCCCGACCCAAAGATCAACGTTCCAGTTAAAGACACAATACCCTACATGCACGATTAAACCAGGTTACAGGGCGAGTCCGACAGCGGAGAGAACGAGCAGACACTGTAGACGTAAATCAAAGGACGCCTGGTGGTCTGGCACCGCTGGTTATAAATGTGTCTAATACATATTCCAAAACGTGTCCCGAGCTCTCGAAGCGTTTTCTGTTTGCGTGAGCTCCGCGGACGTCCGAGATCAGGCTGCGACGGATGAAACTTCAGGCAGCACGCCATAAAACGAGTAACACGTGCGCTAAGCGTTTTCGCCTACAAGTCATACACCCGCCTCTATCTTGTCTGTCTCTCTGTCGTCCTCCCTTCTTTCCTCTCTCTTCAACCCGGGCCGAAACTTTCCCGGCACTGAGCACATTTTCTCTGCCTCTCCCCTCGTCTACCACCCCCTCCGGCCGATTTTCTATGCACTCGCATGTACGTTCCTCCGCATTTCCATTTCCTTAAACTCTTATTCCTACGGCAGAGGCTTTCCGCCCCGAAGGAGCCGAGGAAGGGGGTGTGTAACTTCGATCTGCAGCCTCCTGAGAGGATTGGCAATATTTCAAAAGCGTTCGCTTCTCCCTTCCGTCCTCGTCTTTGTACGCAGAGGCAGACGAACGCCTGACTGCGCCGAGATAACCAGGGAGACGCGAAATAATTGCGCAAATAGTGGTGCCGGCTAATGCACTTGCGTCCAGACGGCACACGCTTAGACCACCCCGTCTCTCTCCGTGGCCAGCGACGTCTCCTTCCTTTTCCGGTTCCTCGACTCTTTCTCGTTGTCGCTGCGCGACGCGGCCCACCGCGAATAATACACACAAATATTGGACTCGAGAAGTATTCAAATATTGGCAGACACTTTTTGTAGAGCTAACCAAAGGTTTGGGGTGAAAGGTTTGGGTTCTCTGTACATAGAAATATATAGATCTTCTAATGTCAGTACGCCCTTGGAATATCAATTTCTGAAAGGATATTTTAACACGGTGTTTATACGTGTACGAGAGACCACGCTATGAGTCACAAGATGCGAAACGTTGAACTAAGTAAAAGTGTATCGAAACTTTTGATCGATACTGCGTACAAAGCTCCACTACATTCCTTTCTCTTTTTTTTTTTTTTTTTTTTTTTTTTGAATGAAAAGATATAATTTTGTTTTATTTTAATATTTTAGGATGGAGTAAACTTTTTTTTCTCTTTTCTTATTTCTTTTTTTTTTTTTTTTTTTAATAGAAAGCTTCATAATCCTCTTCGTATAATTATAAAACTGATGCAAAGTGGGAAGATATTTATCCAAGAAGCTTCGTGAAAATGGGACCAAGCTGATACACCGCGATTATACTTATTGATTAATCCAAACATGATTAAAAAAGAGTAATCGATATTCGAAAAAATGGTGCACTCGTGCACACCGTAGAAACAAAACATTTAGCTTAATTTCCCAAGAACTGTAAATCATTCTCATTGCAAGAGTATGATATTAATCATCCCTGGCGTTGGAACAAATATCTTAATCACGCGGAGTATGTATCAGCAGTCTGGATTTATCACAGGCGTCCGAAATAAATGAGCAAGAAGCCGTAAAATCGTACACGACCCATAGAATCCGTTGGATAGACGTTCGATCTATCTGACGTGATAAAATATTCGAGGCTTGAAGAATATCTTGGCGCTCATTCAAAAGCAATTTTAATCTGAACTCGACCCGAGGCGAGGTCGCTAACTGATCGTATTATCCAAGAGGCTAAATGGAAAAATATGTTTGAGGATCGTATTGCAACGTTAAAATACACTCTTCTTATGAAAAAAAAAAGATGTTAATACGTGTGCTAGAAAATTGTCCTACATTTCTTTGGCACCGAATCCATCGGAATTACTCGAATTCCAATACGAGATGAAACTATCGAATGACACGATACCGCTAATAGCGCTATTAAGAAACTGAACCTAGACGAATACATATCGTCTCAGACTTTGTATGAAACGTAAGTTTTATTTTTGCAAAATAAAACGTGTCTGACAAATGTATAAAATAGTATATTTATATAAATGTATAAATTTAAAAAAAAAGAAAAAAAATAGGTTGGAATAAGATTCGAAATAAAACTGAC